GAAAGAAGGAAGGAAGGAAGGAAGGAAGGAAGGAAGGAAGGAAGGAAGGAAGGAAGGAAGGAAGGAAGGAAGGAAGGAAGGAAGGAAGAAAACAGAGATTTTAGTTTCTTTAAATGCAGTTTCAGAGAATGGCAGTGCTCTTGCAGGTGTGGTTCCTCTGGTTGGGTGTTGTCCTGTGCACTGGGGGGTGCCTGTTTGATTCCAGGTCGGGGCACATGCCCAGATTGTGGGCTTGATCCCTGGTGGAGGGCTTGCTGGAGGCAGCTGATCAGTGTTTCTCTCTCATATCGATTCTTCTTTCTCTCTCTAAAAATCAATACAAAAATGTTTAAAAAATAAGAGAAAGGGAATGAAAAGATTTTAAAATTTTTATTACCTACTTATGCAACTGAAATATCTCACCAATGGTGACTATGAAGAAATTGAAGAGATCATCATTAATAATCATAATTGCACGTTGATAATTATCTGCAGTCATTTCAAGTATACAATTGGAAATAAAAAATCTATATTTATTCAAAATAATGAATATTTTTCAAAATGTGTTAATGTGGCTAACACACCTTTGAAATAAGCCATACCACTGTCAAGAAAGCATATAATCTTTGTAACTAACCTGTAATCCAATCCTCACCTTGCTTTCTTTCACCTCCATGTAATCTTCCTTACTTCCCCTCCTTAGTTTCAAATGAATAAAAGAAGCTGTAGAACTTATTCTAGGGAGTATCTGATATCTGGCTCCCCAGCATACATCATCAGTTTGGTTCAAATAAACTCATATAGAATTTTCCTTTCAAAGTCTATATTTATTCAAGCAAATTAAAAAATTATAAAAACTTAAGATTTGTAGGTATCTTCCTTCTAAATTTATATTTAACATATTTCTTAATAAATTATATTTTATTCTTTTTATAATTACACGATATAAAGAAATGTCATTTTTTTCAATGAAGCCAATATTGCCTATCAGCTTACTACAGTGTGCCCAACAAATAAAATCATTTTCTCTCCTTGCCATGATATTAAAAATGTTGAGAAGTGCTGCCTAATCCATGGAGAAGTAATATGTGCTCCATCTCTGCAGTTGCTTCCATGGTCCTTAAGAACTTGCGCAATTAAATAACACATCCCTCTACCAGCTCAGGATCCATTCCCAGACATATAAAGCTCATTTCCCCTCCACCTAAAGAGAACATGGCCTTTGGAATGTCTTCCCCTCCTTTCTTTCGGCCAACTCTTCTTAGACACTCTCTGAGCAGCAAGATCTCTGAGCCCCGAGGCTTGGGCAGCAAACTTCACAGGAATTTGCAACTTGTCATAGTTATTGAGATGTGTTACAACCCCTTTCTTACTACTACTACTAATTTAAAAGTTCTAGAAGGGGACATCAGAAGCCTGCCTTGGCCAGGTTGGGGAGGGAGTGATGCGGCAAATGCTAGAAGCAACCTGCTTTTTCTTTCGGCCCAAGGCAGAAGGCCATTAAGCTCCTGGTCCCTGTAGAAGCAAGGTCCTGTCCCTGGATCACCAGACATTATGTACAGAAGATGAACATTTGGGAATGAGCCATCAGCATGGAGAAGGTAGTTGGAACCATGAGTGCCCAACAAACTCCTAAAAATCAAGGGTCCCAAAACTTGTAGAAACGGAGCAAGAATCTTACTCTGCCCCTCGCCTTACTCCCATAGATGTCATGTGCCCCTTACCTGCTCAGGAGTGAGATTCCCACATTCCTTTCTTTTGTGCTCCTTGACTTAAGCCTCACAGTTCTCTTTTTCTCTCTCTCCTCATTACAGTGTTTTCCTCATGTTCCAATGAGTCGTCAGCACAATGCCTTGGGATCACCCTGCCTCAGTCACCCTAGGAGGCAGCGAGTCTCTGCAATATATCATGGCAGCTTCCTCTCACTTTACCTCTGCCTCCAGACACTCATGTTGGCTGCAGGTGGGAATCGTTGTGAGGCTCTGATTCTCTGATATGTAAGGTGAAGGAAAAGGAAAAGGGAGGAAGCTGGAAGGAAAAGTTTGACAAAAATACAAATGCTATGAGACCCTGGGGAAAGTTAAGAAGTTAACTTTATTCCACTTACTAAGTACCAGGCAGTGTACTAGGCATTTTTACTGGTATCTCCTGGTCCAGGCCTGCTGGTGTGTGTGTGTGTGTGTGTGTGTGTGTGTGTGTGTGTGTACACCTGAGTGCAAATATGCCTTCTGTGGGGCAAAGATTGAGAGAAAATAATAGAGCCCTGATGGTAATAAAGAAGCGTAAGTTCTGAGAGCTTCAAGATAATCTAGAATATGATTGGCAAAAACTAGCTCATATGCTCCCATTTTCTCATCTCATGCTCATGGTAAATATTATTCATGATTCTCAAACATCTTTACCACTGAGCTGGTCCACGTTCTTTCTCAACACGGTTATCCAACTATCCATCCAGAGCCATCAGAGTTCCTGTGTGATCCCTCCCTCCTCAGGACCTGACCTGCAGGAGCTAGCATGTCTATTCCCCATGTCCTGCAGTCACATTCCTCAGGTCCCTCTCCTCCGGGTGAGTTAAATGAGGAGCCCAGGGCCCAAATATTCAAGAGCTTCTTGCTCTCAGGATCTTGCTTACTATGCACCTGTACCCTGAAAGTGAGTGTGTCCTCAAAATTTGTGCCCTAAGTCTTTGTTTGGCTCACCTTAGCCAGGCCTAGACTTCCTATGTCCAACATCTCCTACTTCCTCCTAGCTCTGGGTGAATGTTAAGGTCAGAAAAGAGACCCCCTCCCCCCAAGATCCAGCAACTATTTTCACACTTTGTTCCCAGGATATGTTAGCATGGAAATAGCCAATCATGTGTGTAATCAATCCCCCTTCATCTGCCAAAATCCTGCCCCAAGCCCACCCTGACTCTACCTCTGCTCTCTTTTCAGGAGCATTCCAAGTCCAGGGGCCCCATGAACCGGTGGTGGCCCTGCTGGGGGGTGAAGCTGAGCTGCCCTGTTTCCTCTTGCCTCGTCAAAGTATTAAAAATATGAAAATAAGCTGGATTCGATCCCTACCCTCCCAGGTGGTGCACCTGTATGAGGATGGGAGGGACAGGCCTTATGAAGCCATGGAGGAGTATTCTGGGAGGACAGAGCTTATGAAAAACGCCATGTATAAAGGGATGGTGGTCCTGAGAATCCTCAATGTCCGACCCTCTGACAATGGGCAGTATCGCTGTGGGTTCCGGTATGGCTCCTTCTACAGTGATACAATGATTGAGCTCAAAGTGGCAGGTAATGGCCCACATTTATCCCCTTAACACCCTACGGGGGTGAGTTTATTCTGGGATGGGCTCCTTCCTCTGATGCAATTTTCCTGGGAAATATGAAGAAGTCACAGGAGAAAGGGCGATGGCCATTACTCTACTCACCCCATTACTCCATAGAGCACTGCTTGGGGCTGAATAAAGATAATCAAGAGACTCATAGTGGGCGTCAAGAAATAGGCAGGGCCATTGGTGTTGGGTTGCGTTGGACCTCTCTCTCCTAGGAGGCAAGGTCCCCATCTTTTGTTGTCAGGACTTCTTCAGAGCCTCAGTTTCCTGTTCTGCACAGAGGTCTAGTCAGCAGCAAAAACTCTCCTGAAGCAGGGGAGGGATATGTGTGCAGGAAAATGAGCTTAGGATCTGACTTCTCTCTCTTCCACTTCCCAGTTCTTGGCTCACATCCTCAGTTCCATGTGGAAGTCACTAAGTCCAAACAAATGCAAGTAGTGTGCACATCAGAGGGCTGGTTCCCTCAGCCGAAGGTCCAGTGGATGGACTCTGAGGGAGCAGAAATTCCAGCTGAGTCTGAGACTCATACCCAGGACAAAGGTGGCTTGTTCCATGTAACAACATCACTGCTCCTCAGAGAACCTTCTCAGAAGAATCTGACATGTTCTGTCTGGAACCCAGTCCTGAATCAGAGAAAGGAAGAACGTTTGTCCACAGCAGGTCAGTGCTCTCTCTCCCCTCACTTTGCCCACAAAATGGGTTTGATGCTCACACTCCATGATGGTGGCAGCTCTAAGCACATAGGCTTGGTTCAGTCTCTTCATCACACCCACACCAGTCTTGCTGCCAGGACCCAACTTTCCTCCTTTTTTCCTACCTTCTCCCATCCTTTCCTGACAAATGTTCCAGTCTCCACCTACTTAACCTTTCCATGGAATTGGACCTTCTTGTCTTAGGCCATTCAAGCTGGTGTAAAAACATACCACAAACTAGATGGCTTATAAATAACAAAAATTTATTTCTCACAGTTCTGAAAGCTAGAAGTTCAAGATCAGGGTGTCAGCACAGTTGATACTGGTAAAGGTCTTCTTTCAGGTTGAGACACTCAAACTCTCCTCATGTCCTCACATGCTAGAAGGAGCTAGGGAGCTTGAGGGGGATAAGGGGTAGTCTCTTTTATAAGAACACTAATCCCATTCATGAGCTTAAGATCTCACATTGGGCATTTGGATTTCAAAATATGAATTTTGAGGGGACACATTCAAACCTTAGCACTCTTCCACAAAAAACACAGACTTTCTCCTTACTAGTCCTCCACTAGGTCAATCTCTCCTGCTTCTCATTTTACAACGTTTCTCCTCAGCCTTTTGACCTGTTGCAAAAATACTATGAGCCTAAACAAGATCAACTTCCTGTTGACATGCAGTTCTGATTTCGTTATATCTTGCTGCGTATACTGTATATTCCACCTCTTTCCTGATTTCTTGCCAGGCCCTGTTGTCATGCCACTATTTTCTTGGATGTTTGTATTTCTGCTTTGTGGTATTTCTTCACAGAGGCTACTATTCATCAATATTTTTAAAATTCATGGCTAAATGTTTGGCTAGAATATTTATCTCTTCTCTGGCAGCATTTTTCCAGTGAATCATGATTATCTTTTTCCTCATTTTTCCATGTATAATCTGTGTGCTGCTGCTATGCCAGCCTATTGTATTACTCATTATTACATCCACTGGATTTTTCTGGGCCAGCTATTTCCACAAATTTCTTGTGAGGCTGGGAGGCTAGTGTATCTTCCAGTGTAGCTGATTCTCACAGTCAACTGCTGCCACAGAGACAGGCTTCTTCCTACAAATATGGCTCCTGTGTGTGAAGATCTGCATCATATCCCATGCCCCCTGCTTCTTTCTAAACAAAAATATCTAGGATGCCAACCTCGGTTCCTGCACCATTTGTTACAAATAAGCATGTAGCTTTTGATCTTCTATGTAGGCCCATCTCTGCAGTAAGGACATTTTTGCCAGTACTTTCTGACGCTTGCTATCGCATGGTCTTCTCACCATTCTCCACACCTCTCTTCATTTTTCTCCCACATGGTGTCTATGTGATCATAGCTGCTTTTATTTTTTTTTATTTTTTTAAATATATCTTTATTGATCTCAAAGAGAGGCAAGGAGAGGGAGGGAGAGAGAGACAGAAACATCAATGATGAGAGTCATTGATCAAGCTTGCAACCCGGGCATGTGCCCTGATCAGTAATTGAACCCTGATCGCGGAGCCTAGGTCAACACTCAACCGCTGAGCCACTCCCGGCCGGGCCATAGCTGCTTTTAGCAACCTTTGCACCTGCTTTAAAGTCTGGTGTTTTTAGTTTCTTTATTTGGTTCTCTTTTATTGCTGGTATTTTATTTCCAAGAAGAGAAGAGTAACTGACTTGTGTAGCCACAGTCATAGTGGAAATCTAAAAGTTTGAATTTGTGTCAGAGGTGGAGTGATTCTAGGTGATGACAAGTCCAGAAATGGCCATGATAGCAAGTGGAGAAAAGTGAAGACAAAGTGAAGACCCATGTAATTTCCCCTCTCTCTAGCTAGCAAAGTTCACCCTTGTTTATCTCCCTCTCTCTCACTGAGCCCTGGCCACACTGGCGTTGACCAGGTCCTCAAAGGCACCAAGATTTTTCTTACATCTGGCCTTTTCATTTGTTGCTGCCTCTGACTGGAACATGCCATTCTGACTTTCTTCTTAGTACAGTGGTACCTCGGTTTTCGAATGGAATCTATTCTGGAAAACCAGTCGAGTTCTGAAATGTTGGAAAACCGAGGGGTTCACAGCCAACAGCTGGGCCTCAGGATCCTGCCCTCAGCTGAAGCTGTGTGGCATGTGTGACTTCCGAAGTGTGTTTGAAAACTGAAGCATTTACTTCGGGTTTACGGCATTCATAAACCGAAATGTTCGTCAATGGAGACATTCGAAAAACCGAGGTATCACTGTATCATTTATTTAAAATTTGAGAGTGTGACGCAGTGAGGTCACACCACAATCCTGCTCCAGTCTCCCTCTTCTCTATCCACACTCTCCCTTTATTGCTTCATCCCTTCCATTCTGAACTGTCTTACAGCCCCCATTACACACACACACACACATTGAATTATTTCATTTCATTATAAAGGAAAATTCAACCTTCTTTTACTCCTACCTCCAAATTTGCCTGTCCAGGCCCATCAAAGCCTCAGCTGTACAAAGGAGGGCCTTTCATGTAGCAACCATAGCTGTTAACATGGGGCTAAAATGAAAGTGCAATGACAATAATGTGTCTCTCTCAATACAATATCTGCATCCATTCCAAAGAGAAAGTCAGAGGAAACTGACATGTAAACACGGAATAAGGCTTCTCTAAGGCAATTTGTCCATCCAAACGAGCCGGAGCTGAGCACTAAACTCATCAAATTCAAGTTCTCAGTCTCTAACCCACAACTAATTTCAGAGAAAGGGAGATTAGCTGGGTTCAAGTTCGGGAGCTACAGAGAGAGCAAATCACATAGGTTTTCACTTTGATTCCACTTTTTTCCACCTGCTTTTGTGGCCGTTTCTGGACTTGTCTTCACCTAGAATTGCCCCACATCTGACTTAAACTCAGACACTTAGATTTCCAATTGAATATGGCTGCATTACTCAGTGTGTCCCCAGAGCATTGTACCCCATTTCTATGGGGTAGTGTTTCAATTATTCTCTCCATTCTCCATCTGGGTAACTACTACTTATCCTCTAACACACTAGCATCTCAGCTCCATGATGCCACATTTCCACCATTACACATTCATACACACATTTATCCAACAAATATTTATTGAGCAACTTTTGTGGGCCAGCACAATGCTTAACGCTGAGAATGTCATCATGGCTAAGACATAGTCTATACTTATGATACAGACATTTAGCAGGAGGAAAAGACTGTGCAAAAGAAAAACCTTTGAAGGCTAGACCATGCCTGCCTTGTTCAGCAGTTTCACTAACACCTGTCACTGCAGGTGGTGCCTGACAGGAACTCAGTACATTTTCTTTGAATGAATAAAATTCAGATATAATACAATGTATGGAGTAAGCCCAGGATGCCATGAAAACAAAAAGGAGAGAAAGATTTTAGAAAGAGAAAGAGAAAAAGTGAAAGGGCAGTTTTCAAAATGTCAAAAACGTAATTCTCATAAAAATACATAGAGACCGGGTGCCATAATCTTACTTAACTCTTAAGTGAGAGAGTGGACAACAAGGCTGGTTGAAAATCAGAAAAAAATTCCATCCTAAGATGAGGCTGCTAAGTTAATGTTCTAAAGGTCAATGACACTACAATAAAGTTTTACTTCCCTATATCAGATGATCCTTACATAAATTTATAGATAATATTTTAGCATGATAGTAAAAAGACATAGAATCTGTTTTTGCCTTATTTCTGTATTTTAGGCCCTTTTTCTCAACAAAGGCTTCTTTGAGATAATATTGCACCTGATTGCTGAAGAGAGAGGAGAAGTTGTCCAGTAGGAATGGCAAAGGAAAGGCAGCGAGTGTCCCAGGAGTAGGGAAAGTGCAGAGACCCACCGCACTTCCATCACCCCGGCCACTGTCAGACCTTGGGCCTGATCCAAAAGTGAACATATTTCGGTTATAAAACGTTAAACCCCAATGTCTCGCTTTTTGAGGACAATTTTCTATTCTTTCAACTTTATACTTTATCTCTATTTACACAGACTCTTCAGCCTCATAGACACCTCTGGCCCCTTGATTCTTTCATGCTTCCCAGGTACCAGCTTCAGTCTCATCTAACCTCCATGGGTCACCTCCCTGACTACTCTTTTGTCAAGACTCTCAATTCTGTTACACACTGTTACACTGCTGCTCTTCCATGGAAGAAATGAATTTATTTGCTTAAATCTACTTTCTGAACAAGTAAGCTGAGTAAGATGGTATTTGAATGGAGGCTGGAACTTACTAACTAACCATAATTTGAGAGGCAATGGAGGTAGAGGGAGGATCCACAACTGAATACTGTTAGAGGGATTATGATTCGGGATCCACTGAGCAAGAAGTGAATGTGGGGCACTCTCTTCATGAAACTGATTGGGGGACATCTGTATTTCAGTTGCTGAGCCCGTCAGTGTGACAGTCATCATAGTGGTTACAGCTTTGGTAACATTTCTGATAATGCTGATTCTTCTCATACTCGTTGGACTTTATTTAAACAGAAAGAGGATCAAAAACAGGTAAAGCCATTTTTTTCCCCAAGATATAAATGTACATTCTCAAAGGTATCTGTCCTTCACCTTTCTGCTTAGGAACAAGATCAAAGTCAGCAAAGGCTCTGCTCAGAGCAAGTCACACCAGTGAGACTCTAATACCTCAACTGTAACATATGGAAAATAATACTTTATTTCTAGAACTCCTGTGTGGATTACAGAAATAATTTACATAAAGCATCCCTGCCTTACACCAACACGAAGGCCTTCAATGAGAGGCTATTATTATTGTTGTTATTATTATTAATGTTGTGGGAGAAAGAGGAGGAAGAGAGAACAGGAGGGAAAGGTGATGGGAGGACTGAATATTCGTGGTGCACTGACTATGCCCGAGGCATAGAAGCACTCATGTGTGAGGCCTTAAATTGACCACCATGGGTAATACTCATTTTGACATCATTCACCTTTTGCCCAAGAAATACAAGTAAAATTTATAGCTGCTCATTAGACCAACAAAGAGTTACAACTATGCTGGGTATACTTGCAATGTGTTGGCCCCGGATAACACATTACTGAGCCCCCCTGTTCAAGATCACTTTAGTCTTTAAAGCCACACAATCAGCAAAGAGGGTTATGAGACAGAGAAAAGCAAGACATGTGACCACTGCTCAGTGCAGGGTGTGCAAAGTGTGCTTGCAAACTCTCCTAGAGTGTTCGTCTAAACCACCTCTTTCCTTAGACTTCTTGCTCTATCTTAAATTGATTCAATAAACTCTGTATTTTGAACTTCTTAATTTGGCATAGAGTTGTCTAAAACATTTCCTTACTACTTTTTTATTGTCTGAAGGATCTGTAATAATGTTCTCTCATTCCTGATATTGAAATTTTTGTTTTATCTTTCCTCCTCCTAAAAATTTATCAATTTTATTCATCTTTTCAAGGAATTATCTTTGATCTTATTGAATTTTTTATTGTATACTAATAAACTTTCATTGACTTTTGCTCTTAATTTAACTATAGCCTTTGAACTTTGTGTTTAATTTGCTCTTATTTGCTAGCTTCTTGAGATAGAAACTTCTTAAGTGATTAGTTTTTTTCCTTTTCTTCTTTCCTAATATAAACATTTAATACTATAAATTTCTCTCCAGAGGGGTATTATGCTAAGTGAAATAAGTCACATAGAGAATGACAAATACCATATGATTTCACTTATATGTGGAGTCTAAAGACAAAATAAATGAACAAGCAAAAGAGAAACAGACTCATAGACATTGTGCACAAACTGATGGTTGCCAGATGGGAAGGGGGTTGAATGGATAGGTGAAAAAGTGAAGGGATTAAGAAGTACAAATTGGTAGTTACAAAATAGTCGTAGGAATGTACAGTACAGCATAGGGAATATTGTCAATAATATTATATGGTGTCAGATGGGTAGTAAATTTATTGGGGTGATCACTTTGCAAATTATGTAAATGTTTAACCACTATGCTATACACCTTTCCTCTAAAAATCAATAAAAATATGTCCTCAAATGAGGATTAAAAATATACATATATCTTTAAAAGTACTTTTAACATTGGGGCTATCAGAACCTTCCAAAGTAGATGAGTTCATGAATAAATTAGACTATTCCACAGTGGTTGACCAATTCTTCTCTCTAATACCCACAACTGTCACTTAAGTATCTATCATTTAAAAAATCTTCAAACCCAATGCAAAATAAAATTATTAAAATGTACTATGCGTATTTTTAGTCTATCATTAAAAAATCTTTGAACCCAATTCAAAATAATGAAATAAAATGTCCAAATAAAATTTCCTTCATAGACTGCTTTAGCTGTACCTCATGAATTTTAATGTATTATATTTTATTGTTCATTCAAATAATTTCTAGTTTTCCTTGTTATTTCTTCTTTGATCAATGAGTTATTTATAAATGTGTTATTTAATTTCCAGATATTTGGGAATATTCAAGATATTTCTAGTTTAATTCCATTGTAGTCAAAGAACATCATTTTCTATTATTTTAATCCCATTAAGTCTACTGAGACTTGTTTTCTTGCCCAACATATGGCTTATCTTAGTAAATATATTATGTGCACTTACAAAGAATTTGTATTCTACTATTGTTGGGTGGATTGCTCTGCAATATCAGTTAGGCAAAACAGGTTGATTGTATTACTGAAAATCCTTTCTGATTTTCTGTCAACTGGTTTCAGCAGTTTCTAAGAATGGAGTATTGAGATTTCAAAGTATAATTGTGCATTAGTCTATTTCTCCTTCTCAGTTTAGTCAGTGTGCTCTATTTATTTTGTTTCATGTTATAAGGCATATACACATTTAGGAATTTTATGTCTTCTTAATGAACTGACCCTTTTTGTCACTATAAAATGCCCCTCTTTCTCCCTGGCCATATTTCTTGCCCTCAATTCTACTTTATCTAATAGCAATATAGCCGCTTTAGCTTCCTTATGATTAATGTTTACATAGTGTATCTTTCCCCATTCACTTACTTTTAATCTATACATAAGTGGATTTCTTACAGAAAGCTTATATGGATCTTACTTTTTATCTAGTTGAATTATTTCCGTCTCTGAACTAGATTGTTTAGGTCAGCACTTTCCAATTGAAATAAAATGTAATCTTAAACTATATAATATGTAATTTAAAACTATGTAGTATCTACATTTAAAAATAAAAATGAACATTGGAAATTAATGTTAACAATATATTTTTGTATAATTTATCAAAAATATTATTTCAAAATTTATTAACAAGTTAGTTTACATCATTTTGTATCAACTCTTCAAAATTCAGTATGCATTGATACTTACAGCTCATCTCAATGTAAACATTAAGTATTTTTCAGAAATAATTGATTTAGAGTTCAAAAATTTATAGTTGAAAGAGTAGATTCAGATACCCAAGTTGTTCTAAGCATACTTGAAAGATTTCCATGATTGGAGTGTCCATTTTTATTTTATCTTATTTTTTTTGTTGAATTTTTGGGAATGACATTGGTTTACAAAACCATACAGATTTCAAGTTACAACTCAATAAAACATCACCTGCATACTTCATCATGTGCCCATCGCCCCAAGCTAAGTGTCTTTATGTCCCCATTCCCCTACTTTGCCCACCTCCACCTACTCCCTCTCCCTACTCCCTCTCCCTACTCCCTCTCCTATCATTACACTGTTGTGTGTGTCTACGTGTTTTATATATATATTATGTGTATATACATGTATATGGTTTTTGTTTAATCCTTTCACCTTCTTTGATCCAGCCCCCCAATGCCCCTCCCCTCTGACAGCTGTTAGTCTATTCCACGTATCCATGCCTCTGTTTCTGTTTTGTTCATAAATTTATTTTGTTCATTAGATTCCACCTATCTTAGATCATAAAGCATTTGTCCTCTAACTGGCTTATTTCACTTAGCATAGTAATCTTCAGGTTCATCCATGTTATCACAAAGGGTAAGACTTCTTTCTTTTTTAAGGCCAAATAGAATTCCATGGTGTACATGTCCCACAGCTTTTATATCTTCTCATCTACTGATGGGCACTTGGGCTGTTTCCAGATCTTAGCTATTGTAAATAATGCTGCAGTGAACATAGGGGTGCATATATTCTTTCAAATTAGTGTTTCAGGTTTCTTGGGATATATTCTCAAAAGTGAGATCATTGGGTCAAAAGGCAGTTTCATTTTTAATTTTTTGAGGAAATAGAGCATCCATTTTTAAATTTAAATTAAATAAAGATTTAAAATTTAGTTCCTCAATTGCACTAACCATATTTCAGATGCTCAACTGCCACGTGTGGCTAGTAGCTACTATATTTGACTGTACTGTTTAGACCATTGATTTGGTTAGGTTTAAACTTACCATTGTGCTATTTATTGGCAATTAGTTATTTGTTCCTTGTTTTCTTTTTTGCCTGCCTTATTTTGGCTTAATTACATATTTTTATTATTTCATCTTTAATATTGACCTATTAATTATAACTTTTTGTTTCATTTCTTTAGTGGTTACTCTAGGGTTTACAATATTCATCTCTAACTTGTCCTATTTGATGCTGAACCAATATTATAATACTTTACAACTAGCATAAGAAGGTTACAATGAGATGTTTTATTTTCGCTGTTCATTGTGCTACTTTTGTCATAGATTTTACTTCTACATATTATATATATATATATATATATTTTTGCTTTAAACAGCTCATTATATTTAAAAGACATTTAAAAATAAGGAAGAAAAGCCCAGCCAGTGTGGCTCAGCGGTTGAGCATCGACCTATGACCTATGACCCAGGAGATGGAGGTTCAATTCCCAGTCAGGGCACATGCCTCAGTTGTGGGCTCGATCCCCAGTAGGGGACGTGTAGGAGGCAGCCAATCAATGACTCTCTCATTATTGATGTTTCTGTCTCTCCCCCTCTCCCTTCCTCTCTCTGAAATCAATAAAGACATATTAAAAACAATTAATTAAACAAAATAAGGGGGAAAATGTAGCTTTTTAAATTACACCCACACTGCCATTTCCACTACTCTTTTATTCCCTTGTGTAGATCTACATTTCCATCTGGAGAAACTTTACACTTCCTGTTCTGTGTGAATGCTGCTAACAAATTCTCTTGGTTTTTATTTGTCAAAGAAGCCTTTTTTTCACTTTTCATTCTCTTTCTTTCTCTCTTTCTTTCTTCCATTTTTAAGGCTATTTCCACTGGATGCAGAGCAAGTTTAGAGTAGCCTTACTGTTAAAGCTAGTTTAGCCCTATTCCTGTCATAATCTTTCTGGGCTCTCTACTGAAAAAACAAGGTATCTCCACTCTAAGTAGCTGGAACTCTAATGTCTTCCAGTTCTGTGTGAGCCTTGAGAATGGTCCAGCTTATGGCTCCCATCAGTACTTTGCCTCACGTATATTCAGCATTGTATTCAGCAACCAGTTCAAGAGAATCGCTGTGTAGATTTCTGGAGCTCTCTTTTTGCCTCACTTACTTTTCTCTGATATTCTGCCCCCCAAATTCTAACCACCTCAGCCTCTCTGAACTCTGATCTCTGTCTCTTCGTCTTCATAAGGCAGATCTGCCCGTGGGGTTCTCCTCTCTGCTCTGCAATCTAGAAATAGTCTCAACACAGTAGGTTGGAAAATTGTATTGTTTCTCTTTGCTGCAGGACCACAACCCTGTGCTGGCTATTATTTAATGTCTGAAACAGTTGTTTTTTAAATTTATTATGTCTGATTTTATTATTGTTTATTCCGGGAGGGCACATCTACTCCCAGTTACTTCATTGTAGCTGGAAGTATGTCTATTACTCTCTTTCTACAGATGAAAATTTTCTTTTGACTTCTATGACCCTGTTCAAGGTCATCTTGTCCTTAGAGACCTGGGCTGTGCGAGGCAGTCTGTCATGGGCCCTGAGTGTCCCCGCACTTGTCCCAGGAATAAGGTGATGTAAATGAGGTGCCCAAGACACAAAATTTAGGGAGTCACTAACTCTCAGGTTTACAAAAATGCTGCCCCTGTTCTTGCGTGACACTGAGAGTAAATGCCTCCCTGAATTTTGGATGCAGGTGCTTCACTTACCTACACCAGTCCCAGCTCTGCCCTGCACATTCTTGCTAAGTATGCCAAGGATGCAATGTCCGAAATTCTCTTTATTTGGATGATTTCTCAAGGTTGAGTTTCCAGGGACAACCTTGAGAAATGAAATAATTTCTTTTCTGGACAAAGAGCAAACTTGATTCCTCTTGTTATAAAAGCAGGACATCCCGGGGCTTCCCAGGCCATAGCACACGTAGTACCGACAGTCCGGACAGCACTGCCTACACTGCGGTCCCCGCCAACCCAGAACCCGACTGCAGCCCTGATGCGTCCAGTGCTGATCGCCTCCAGGCCGCCAGCCCTGACCACGACGCTGCCAGAAGAGTGACCCACCTCGGGCTAGCCAAGCTATCACTGCGGACACCACCAAACCTGACCCCAACTGCGCCAAGGACAACCAGCCTGGGGCCACGCCCACTAAAGCCACCAACGTTGACCAGGACGCCGCCAGCACTGACCAGGGCGAGGCCACCCCCACAGATGCCTCCAGCCCTGACCAGGGCGCCGCCAGCATTGACCAGGGCGAGGCCACCCCCACAGATGCCTCCAGCCCTGGCCAGGACGCCGCCAGCTCTGACCCGCCCCTGACTGCCCCCGGAGACGCAGAAACCCCCGGTGCCACCGATGTTGATGCCGGTGTCAAGCGCTGGCACCAGTCCAAATATAACACTCAGGAGGCAGAGCTCCGCAGCTGGATCGAGGGACTCACGGGCATGCCTATCGGTCCCGACTTCCAGGCGGGTCTGAAGGATGGAACCATCCTGTGCACACTCATGAATAAGCTGCAGCCTGGCTCCGTCCCCAAGATCAACAGGGCCACGCAAAACCGGTCCCAGCAAGCAAACCTCTCCAACTTCATCCGGGCCATGGCCAGCTATGGCGTAAACTCCAGGGACCTGTTCTCGCCCAGTGACCTGTCTGAGAGTCGGAACATGATGCGGGTGCAGGCGTCTCTTCTGGCTCTGAATCGGAAGGCCGAGACCAAGGGGCAGCAGGGGGGGCATGGACTTGGAGGAGCAGGACGGGGACCTTCCATCACGCCACCATGAGGGATGGCCAGTGGGTGCTCAGGCTCCACATGGGCGCCAACAGATGTGCCAGCCAGTGGGCATGATGGCCCCCAGGACCTTGCGGTACATCTATGACAACAAGCTGGGGACCACCAAGTGTGACAACTCCTCCAGGTCTGCAGATGGGCTACACTCAGTTCACCACCCAGAGCAGCCAGTCTTTCACTTCGGCCAGGGGACAGGAGTTGCGTGGCTGAGGCAAAGCCAGACACTGCCCCCTCCACAGTGCTGCCTCTCCCCCACCAAGAACCGCACAGGACCCCCCCACCCCTCAAGGAGGCCCTCCCTGGGAACAGCCCTACCCAGGAGCCCTGGGACCAAGAGATACTGTGAAATACCAACTGTAGCCTAAAGGCAATAAAAATCTCTTTCCGGGGGAAAAAAAAGATGTAAATCCCCAAAATTCAGTTTTTCATCTATCATAGTGCAACCACTGTATATGGAGAAATCCATTAAGGGGTTTCTGAAAGACATGGCAGATGGACGCAATTGAACACGAGCCTGCGGTTACTACTTTGCCATGAGTAATAAAGTGCGTTGTCTCTGACCCAGCAGTCTTGTTTCTTGTTAGCATCCAGGAAACAGTAACAGGCTAACTTATTGGCTTATAAGTAAGTGAAAGGCTGGGCCCTGCACCCTCCTTGGAGACTTTCATACAAGGTAATGTACTCTTTCCCTTTTGACTTCATGTTTCCCAGAAGTTACGGGAGGAAACTCTGAGACTGAGTTTCTGCCCATACTGAAATGTTTAAGATTAGTTATTCCTGATTTTTGTATTCTTGAACTTGGGAAGTAAGGAAACAGCCACTTCAGTTTTTCTCCTGCCAATCCCACTCCTACCACACGTGTCCCATTCCACATTGGCCATACACCATGTTTTCTTCTAGGAGTTTTATGGTTTTGAGACATTTAAGTCTTTAATCCATTTTGAGTTTATTCTTGTGTATGGTGTAAGAATGTGGTCTAGTTTCATTTTTTCATGTGTCTGTCCAATTTTCCCAACACCATTTATTGAATAAACTGTCTTATGTTCTTGCTTCCTTTGTCATATATTAATTGACCATATGGGCAGGGGTTTATTTCTGGGCTCTCTATCTGTGTCTGTTTTTATACCAGTCCCATGCTATTTTAATTACTATAGTCTTATACTATAGTTTAATATCAGGTAGCATGATTCCTCCAGCTTTGTTCTCTTTTCTCAAGATTGCTGTAGCTATTTGGGATCCTTTCTGGTTCCATAGAAATTTTTAGATTATTTGTTCTAGTTCTGTGAAAAATGCCATTGTTTTCTTATAGGGATTGTATTAAATCTATAGATTGTTGGGGTAGTATGAACATTTTTAACAATGTTCACTCCTCCTATCCTTGAGCACAACATGTGCTTCTGTTATTTGTATCTTCTTCAATTTCTTTCTTATAATTTTCTGAATACAGGTCTTTTAACTCCTTGGTTAAATTTAGTTCTAGGTATTTTATTTTTATTAGGCAATTGTAAATAAGATTTTTTTCTTAGTTTCCATTTCTGATAGTTCATTATTAGTGTATAAAAATGCAACCAATTTCTAAATGTTAATTTTGTATCCTGCTACTTTACTGGATTCACTCATCAGTTCTAGTTTTTTGGTGATGTTTTTAGGGTTCTCTATATATAGTATTATGTCATCTGCAGATAATAACAGTTTTACTTCTTTCTTTCAAATTTGGATGCCTTTTATGTCTTCTTCTTGTCTGATTGCTGTGGCCAGGACTACCAGTAGTATTTTAAATAAGAGTGGTGAAAGTGGACACCCCTGACTTGTTCCTGTTCATAAGGGAAATACTCTTAGATTTTCCCCATTGAGTATAATGTTAGCTGTGGGTTTGTCATATATGGCCTTTACCATGTTCCCTGCATTCCCACTTGGCTGAGAATTTTTATCAGAAATGGATGCTGGATTTTGTCAACGTTTTTTCTGTACCTGTTGATATGATCATATGATTTTGATTCTTCATTCTGTGTATGTGATGTATCATGATAATTGATTTGTGGCAATCGTACCAACCTTGCATCCCAGGGATAAATCTCACTTTATCGTAGTTAATTGAATATCCCTGCTTGATGCTTCCAAGTTATGGTCATTACCTTGTTTAGTTTCGTTCACTGCTTTATTTCTCAATAATTCATCTTTTCTTGCTTTGTGCATGTCTCGTAAGTTTTGAGGAAATAATGGACTTTGTATGGAAAAGAACAGGAGAAATGAGAGAAATAGGATTTAAACATTTAAATACCACACTTTGCCATCTGTCAAGCCACTAGTGTGTGGAATTGAGTCAATGTAGTCAGTATTGAGCTGGGTGTTGGTGTTTTTCTTGCTGTAACAACGTAAAGTGCACCACAGACAACATTAATCTAGGTTTAATGTGAGGCATGAAGGGCCAAGAATCTTTCTGAGTGTCCACTTTCAGCTTTTAGCAGGCCCTATGCACCTTTGCCACACAGGGGTCTCTCTTCTTGGTCTTGGAGTAGGCTAATATGGTTTGTGGTTTTTTGTAAGATGTCTGCTGAGGGCACTGGAAGTTCTTGGTTTCCCTGCTTCAGCCTCAGTCTTAGACCAGCCCTATGCACTTAAACTACAGGAATGGACCTTTCTCAGCATTTCTTCCCCTTCCCACTGTGGCAGGTGGATACTGCTTTGTAAGTGGTCTTATATGGGTAATTTTCCTGCCCCTCTCTTAATGAAGAAAGCCCTTGATTTCCTATAATGCAAGATCCCTAGTGCAAGGGAGTTCCTACCCCTTCCCACCAGTATAAAATGTCTTTTGCTTCTACTTATTTCCCAGGAGAAACCCTATACAAGGTCAATAAGGTTTCCTACTCAATCCAGTGGCTGACAGCTTTTACTTCATATTAGAGAAGGGTCGGGGAAGTGGATGGGATTTTGTGCCTATATTCCAAAGGTTACACTTTCAGGCCTCCTACCCCACCTCCATCTTTCTCATGAACACTGGTGAGAACCTGTAGAAAAGAGCTGGTAAGCGAGTACAGACTCCTGTTGTGTATGAGTCTTCCAAGAATTCCAAACTGTCTTATTAATACACACTCAATCTTCAATAATTTCTTAAAATCCTAGCCTTTCTTTTCTTCTCTTTGTGTTCTGTCAACAGCAAAACAGTTTAATGTGTCCTATCTTCCCTTGAGAGGCCTGTCACCTTCTGGAACTCATTTCACCTAGCTGCCTCTTTACCTAGCTCTCTGAAGGGCTCAGAAAAAGCTTATGGTTTTATAGATCACCCTGATTTTCCTGGTTGTTTTGGTATAAGTGACATTCTCTTGTGGCATTTATAAATGGAAGCAGGACTCAGCATTTTTTAAAGAGCTGAAACTTTTTGACTGGTGCCTGTCAGTCCATTCAACCTTTGTAATACCTGTGGGTCCAGGTACAAAATCCTTCACTATACAACTCTTCCATAAGCTCTATCACTCCTCTAAAAATTCTCAGAGGCACCAGAAAGCATCATTTGTTGCACTCCCTGTCCACCTTTATTGCACAAGAAAGCATAATCCAGGCACTTCAGCTGCCCCACCAAGGCCGTCTTAGTACATGGCAAGTCCCAGACCCACACCAGCACCCTGGCTTGCTTCCAGGACTTTCCATAGCCCATGCCCTCTCCAGGAACAGATATGGGCCCAATAGCAGCTTGCCCTGGGGACTTCCTATAACCTCTGCTCACCCCAGGACTCCCTATGGCTCATAACTGCTCCAGTTTCAGCTCTGGACCCCAGCATGGTTTTCTCCTGGGACTCACAACAGTTCATGTCAGCTCCAACTACAGCTCCTGCCTGGTGAGGCTTATCTCCTGGACTTTAAACAGACTATGCCCCCTTCAGCTATAAGTCCAGGCCCTCGCACAGCTTGCTCCCAGCACTCCCATCAGCTCCAGCTCGAGTTCCAACCAGCTTGCCAAGGTGGCCCTGGTGCAACTTGCCCCAAAGTCTCTGTGCAACCCATGCCAACTCCAGCCGCAGCTGCAGCTGGCCAAAGACATCTGGTACACACAGTCTACAAAGGGGAAGCTACTACACAAGGCCACTCTTAGACTGGGAGTGGTTTCACCTGATTCATAGAAACAAACAGAGAGACTGCCAAACTAAGAAAGCAGAGAAACATTTTCCAAGCAAAGAACAGGATAAAACCACAGAAAAAGAACTAAATGAAATTGAATAAGCAATATAACATTGGTTATAAAAATGTTCAATGAACTTGAGAGAAGAATAGATAAACTCAGTGAGAACTTCAACAAATATACAGGGTGTACCAAAAAATGTATACACATTTATTATACATTATTAATTACAGTGGGCTACACCTGAAAAGAAAGAAACATCAATTGAGCTATCAGTTCTTTAAGTGTGTATGCATTTTGGGGGACACCCTGTATATATACAAATTATTTATTTATGTAATTTTCCGTTTAATATTTTTGTGCCACATTTGACCATGTGTAACTGAAATTGCATAAAGCAAAACCATGGGTAAGGGGGGATTAATGTAGGTCTTATTTATTGATCACTATGTGATAGCCACTATTTATTTTTACAATGGAAAAAAGATAGTCTCTTTACTAAATAGTGTTGGCAAAGCTTTTGCACAGTGAAGAAATCCATCAACAAAACAAAAAGGCAACCTACTGAATAAGACAAGATATTTGCAAATGATATATCCAATAAGGGGTTAATATCCAAAATACATGAAGTACTCATACATTCAACATCAAAAAAACAAACAATCTAATTTAAAAACAGGCAGAGAATCTACATAGACATTTCTCCAAAGAAGACATACTGATGGCCAACAAACACATTAAAAGATGATCCCAAACAAACAAAGATGCTCAACCTCACTAATCGTCATGGAAATGCAAATCAAAACAATGATATATTACCTCAGACTTGTCAGAATGCTATTATCAAAAAGACAACAAATAACAGTGTTGGCAAGGATGGGAGAAAAAGGAACCTTCATGCACTCTTGGTGAGGTTGTAAACTGGTGCAGCTACCATGGAAAATAGTATGGAGTGACCAGTCAGAAATGAAGAATGACATAGCAGAAATAAAGGATACATTGGAAGGAATAAACAGCAGATTACAAGAAGCTGAGGATTGGATCAGCAAATTAAAAGACAGGGTAGAAAAAATAACTCAACCAGAGAACCTAA